GCCATAATATTTATGCTGCCCATTCAGGAGCTGCCCTCATCAAATTGCAATGTGAATCACACCACAGGCTCCAGCGCACCTCATTTCATCCTGACTAACATTCTGAATATTAGTCAGGGATAATGTGATGCTGCAAACAATGGCTTACTGCAGAGTCACTGTAACTTTCCACATACATTGAGAGTTACAATAATTTCCTTCCACTCAGATGATGGGCGGATTTAGCTGAACCAGCACAGTAATCTGGGCAGGATTCTTAAAGACTGAGGTGTTGACAGTGAACATCTCATCTGTGCTTTTAAGGCATTGTTGTTATCTCTGTGGCCAGGCCACACTTATCTCACAGAGGGAACTGTATGTGAGCAGAAACAATAGGCTTGATTGAGTGCATTCCCGAAAAGGTGTTAGGTTACACGGGCCTGCTCTATTTAATAGATGATATCTGTCTGAAGGGACTTTGCCATGTGATCTTTATCACTGCACTTTTTGAGAAATGGTGCATCCTTCATAAACTAATTAATTATCTGGTGTCAAGCTGTGATAACATGAAACACCCCAAAGTTGTGTGAACCAGGCTAATATCAGGGGAAGAGTTGAGATGATGTATTTTGTAATTGCTAATAAAAATATTCGATCAATTTTAAATTTTCAAGCAAGCCACAAGAAAGCTTTCGGTGTCCATAGTAAAAACTTTCATTTCCATTTGAAGAAAACGTATCTCATCCATACATGATTGTACATTCATGCATAGGCCCAAATGACCCCTATACTTGATTTAAAAAATAAAAGCCACTATAATGCAATTAGCCTAACAAAGGAAATGGTAATCCATGAGCCAGTGTGAGTGCAGGGGTGGGATGCATCTGTAATGACCTGAGAATGCTTCTGAGGAATTTTCACACCCATAAGCTGCAGGAGAGCTAGACTAAAAATTTCCACCACCACACATTCATATAGTGCTAATCTCTGTGTGGTGCAACTGAAAACAAATCACTCTATTCAAAAAAACCTGCCTTTTGAGAAAGCTCACTTCCTGTCTCAGTCACATGTTAAAAAGCACATTTTTCAATATGACTCTGAACCCAAACCCCTTCATCAACTGGTGTAAATCATTCACACGTCCTGTATTTACAGATATCAGGAAACAGTATGGTGCATTATCTGACCACCAGCAGATTCATAGCTGGGGGGGGGGGTGGGGGTGGAATCGCATATATGCTAATAAAGCAGATGTCCACAGTCCTCAACACATTCCAGCTTGCCTATAAAAACAAAGCGTCTCTCTTCCCCAAGGAGCAGAGTCCCATCTCTGACTGTCTCCAACAGCCACAAAGCTTCATATAAACATTTAGTGTTATAACCCGATGATCCCCGAGCAATGCCCAGACTCCTCCCTGCCACTGTCTCTAAAACAACCGCCCCGCAATTCGATCCCTTCAGACTTGTAGCTTCTCCTCATTTTGGGAGCATTCTGTGTGTTTGGCCAAGGCGTGGGTCCTTGTCTAAAAACTTTCCATGACACTGGAAGTTTCGGGCCACGTCCCTGTGTCTCTGCTGTCCACTGTGCCCGACTCCCACTGAATTCATCAGCCATTGTTTTCTTTGCACAGGCATTTATGATGTCACAGCAAACATAAGCTTTGTCCTCAGATGAAGGATCAGCCAGGGTTCGTGCCCTTATGGGGTCAAACAAACAGCAAATATGGACAGGCTATGACTTAGATCATGTGGTCGGGTGGACATTATGGTGGCAGAAAGAGAACTTCATTTCAGGGGAAAGAAAGAATGGGCATCAATAGGGATGAAGGCACAATTTCTTTTTCTTTTTCTTTTTTTTTACTGGTACCAACAAAAATAGAAGTGAATCTTTATTGGAACCACATAAGATACGCTAACAGTAATACTTGAAAAAGCACAGCTTTGATCTTATCTTTTTTTTTCCTTCTCCCGTCACCATCCCCTATCTCCTCCTCTCCATTCTCAAAAAAACACCACGCCATTATCAAAATGAAAACATTTCCTGAGTCGGGGTGTGCTGAATCATCACCAGCGATGAAAGGGATATACATGCAACCTTAATGAACCAAACAGCATTCAGGACGTTCAGAATGTTTCTTGACCGTTTGCATGAGAAATGAAAAATTCTCACTATGTTTGAGAACAGGGAAACAACATGGTAAAAAAAAGACATATGCGATATGTTTATATATTATATTAGTATATATAATATATATATATATATATTCTGTTAAGATGCTGTAAAAACATTGCAGTGTTAGGCCTAATCCTTTGAGTATCAACAATAATTAATATTACTCACACTTCTTTTTTAAAAATGTTTTCAGATTGCACAAGAATGAATTTGGCAGCAGCAGTATTTGTGCGCATTAAGTGCTTTGAAAGCAGGGAAGGTAAACACAGACTTAAGCACATACACATGCACACAGACACACACACACACACACACACACACACACACTGACACACAACAATGGCTTGTGTCTGTAAAGATCCGATTTCCATCATGTTTGTTTTCTTAGGATAAGGCATGTGTTAACAAAGAAAATATTTTTGCTTGCTCACAGCCATCTGTTGAAACCAGAGGAATTTGTAAAATTGTAAATAGGTTTGTTTGATTGCGACACTATTTTAAGACTGGCCACTGACTGAGGTAACAAATACGTATTCATTTAAAAGTTAAATGTTTGAATTGTGGATCCCACCAGCTGCTTATAGTTGTTTTTGTTTGTTGCCTAAACTAGTATGGCCTCATTCTGAATGTGCACATAACCCCACTGAACCCCATTTGTCTGTATTGTTACATCAGCTTTACTATTCCAGTTCCTCACAAGCGTGCGTTAATTTAATTATTGCTGAAGAACAATCTAATCGCTCTACGATGGCAGGCTGGCAATGAAAACAAATGTCCAACCACACAAAAAACTGAACTGTCCTGCACTGCGAGCGATGAGATACCCCGGATAGAGAAAACACACAAAGCAACATGCTGACATGCGAGAACGACCAGAGGCTGTCACAAAAACTGAGCATAAAAAAAACAACAAAAAAAAACAAATCCTGTATCCCTGCAGAGCTAGAAACTGATGGCACAAGGCAAACACTTAGCCAGTGTCCCCCCAACACAACTTGCATCCCACAAAAAAATGGAATGAAAAGCAAACAATTGAGCAATTGTTCCAGCTTGAATACATGGCACCATGTGCACGGTTAAAACCATGCAAACATTCATTTGTTTAGGGTTAGTGGCACAGAAACAGGGCTGGGGAAAACAATGGCTAAATGTCTTTGTTAGCGAACCATAAAAGCTGATAGCTGCTTATTTGCATTCACAAGATCACACTCGGCGCTCATTGCTAAATTGGGAAACCCACGTCGTTATGAAGGACTTTGTTATAAAAGGCACTGGCTCTGTGTTGGAGGCCAGGAGATACTGTAGCGTGCCTTTGTCCATCAAAGGACCTTTATGGGCTTTTGGCTCTCTCGCCCCAGCCATGCCTATTGGCTCAGAATTATACTTATTTTTCTGCCCCCCGAGGACTGCTTTTAAACTACTGCTTTCAATCTTAAAGAAACAACAAAAGAGCCTGTCAGGTTAATGCTTCCTGACAACCCAAGATAGACAAAAAAAGACAAAAACAACACCCTGAACACTCAAATGACAAATGACAACCAGGAAAAAAAAAGGTGACAAAGCTTTCAAGAAAAGTGGAAAAAACCTCCAATAGGAATGAATGTGTAGGTTTGAGCAATCACTTAAAATGTTGCATCATTTTTGTTGAGAGAAAAAGAAAAAATAGAATATGAAACACACGGCCACCCACAGAGGCTCTTACCACCTGAATTTGCCCTAAAGTTCTGCTATTGATTCCACCCATGGGACACAACAATGGCCTAATTATGTCTTAGCAAATAATCACCTCGCATTCAGAAAGGCAAATCAAAGCGTCGTTCTTTGTTACACGGCTGATCAATCCGCTCCATCGTGTAGCATTTCTATCGCGCAGACAAAAAGAATTAAACAAGAGACAAGATAAAAGCCTGCAGGAGCGCTGAGGAATCAGAAACTCACTTAAGATGTCAATAGTGTCGCCGGTGAAGAGATGCCTGCGTCGGGAAAACAAATCCAAATATCAATACTTTGCCAATCAGTTAATTTCATTAAAGGCATTCAGTGCCATTTACTGATGGGATAGCGAGAATTGTGTGCAAACAAAGCAAAGGTCAGAAATGTATGGTTGAAGTGACAGATTGCAGCCCGGAGGAGCTTCAGTGTGAAAAACTGTTTTGCACTCAGTGGTTGTCTGAGCGATTTACAACCACCTCTGATGGAAGAAATGAGCCGTAATACTGAATTCATTACAGTTTATTTTACAGCCCTTTGACGTTTTTTTCACACTATTTAAAGTACCTGTCCTCTTCTGCCAAAGCTGGCGCGTTGATCTGGCTCTGCTTGTTGTCCTCCTCCTCCGACCACCTGGCCCTCCCTGGAAATGTTTATGTCCAGAAGGAATGCATCACAACTTACGATTTCTTTAAGCAGCTGTGAGTGGAAATGGCTTTTTTGGGGGAGACATTTATGACCCCCCCCAATTCAAAGGCCAACATCTCAAACACAGGAAGGAAGGAAGTGAGAAGAAGTGCAATGCAGTATGAAGAGGTCCGTTTAAAAGTCCTCTACCTTTCTGAAGGAAAATAAAAAGGACTTTCAAGCAAAGAAAAAGATTTCATGATAGAATGGATGTGATATATATATATATATATATATATATATAGATATAGATATATATTTGAAACCTTAAAAGGTGACATATTCATTCATAATGCAACCAAAAACCAACAGAAATATATATATGAAGGTGAGCATGATTCTAACATTTCAGCTCTAAGGATGTTTTATCTCATAGAAGAAGCATTAAACTCACCCATGTCGTCACATTTGGAACAGGACGGGGGTGGGGGGTGGGGGGGCTCTCCTCCTCAAGGGTGCTCAGGATTAGGGCCTGGAAGTCTGCTAGATAATAGATCAAAGAGACACACCAGAGAGCACTTCTTACTTTTCCCACGTATCGCTCATCTTCATACATGATGGAATTTCAGGAGCTTTTTTTTTTTTTTGCAGTTCCACCTGAAGATCAAGCGACAAGACTTTGGTCCTTGAATCACACACAATGTTGAAACGTTTTTTCTTTTTTTTTTTACCAGCGACAGCCCGGATCACTGGTGCGATTAAAATATGAATGCGAGCTCAAGTGCAGGAGAACTGACAATGCAAGAGCAGAACTTATCCCGGTTTAGAGCAAAGCACCAATCACAATAAGGCGCTCTTTATGAATGGGTCGCGCTTTTTCACTTTTCACATGCTTGACGCTCCTGAAGTTGTGATGGATGAGTTGGTTATTAATTGTGGGCAGCAGAGCAGATGAAATATCTACCGCGACTTGAAGGAGTCCAACAGGCAAAAGTCCAAAGTCCAAAAGTATTATCTGCAGAATGTAGACTTCTTAAAGTAAGAAAAGTTAAATTGTGCAGCAGCAGCAGGCCCCTTGTTTAACATATCACAACAATGGATTACTGTTAGGGAAGCAGTATTTCAACATTGCAGTGGGGCTAATTTGAAATACTTTCAAGTATTTGAGTGGTTTAAACTCCAACAGTTCTACTAGATTATAGGTTTTATAGGTTGAATCCTAAGAGTATAGTTTGACATTTTTGCATTTTCTTGCAGAGAGTTAGATGAGAAGATCGATACCGTTGTGAACAGAGAGATATGCATCAATGTTCAATGTCTAACTCTCAACAAGAAAGCAAATAAGTGTATTTTACAAAGTGTCACACTTTAATCAGCTAAATAACTAGGAGTCTAGTGAACTAATAGCTGTAGCACTTAACGTACTTTGTTACATTCTACCACCAATAGCTTCCCATCCAGAAAAAGTATGAACTGAAAATGTACTACCACTCACAGACTGTAAACGGAATTAGAATAAAAAGGCATCAACGATTCAAATATATGGATTTCAATCTAACATGTCGCGCCAACTTAAATGTAAAGCAACAAAAGGGGGCTGTGGTCTCTATACTTCCTTTGCTTGTGTACCATTTGCAACACAAACCAACTGTGAGGTGAACTTTCAGTGCCTGCAAAGAGTTCCTCCCATCAAGCAAACTTCATCCGAGTTTGTGTCCATGCTGAGCACAGAGTCTGCATCAGCGGAGCCATTAGTGCCGAGAGAGAAATCAATGGTCATCTGTTCATGGGAGCCTCCTATTCAGGTGCAGCCTTCAATCTCTGCAAATACTAAGTGCTGAAGTCTTGAGTGTAAAAATAATAGATGGCCACAAGCAAGACGGGCACTTTATTGAAAAATCTATTGGGGAGAGCAACTTAGCTTTTAGAAACCTTCATATGCGGTCTAATATTTTCTACAGAAAAAAAAACATCAACATCCTCAAAATGAGGACTTCAAAATGCTTTACTTCTAAAAAAAATATAAAAAGAAGCTACACATACAGAATGTGTATTATTAATAGTGCAACACTGCAATACTTCAGCCGCCACTCGCATCACTCTGCTGCCACCTAATGGACAATGTGGAGAACTCCACGTGGCACATTTCAGGCTTTATTCTTCTTTATTCATTTTTTTCTAAAGCTGTTGCCTGAAAATAAACCTCATTTATTTAAAGTGTTTTTTTTGTGTTCATATTTTTATTTTGATGCCTCCAAAAATAACCCTTGCCTATAGAGTAATCTAAATGATTAACGTTCACATTTGAAAGTTATTCTGTGCTATTGTGCTACGACAACAATTCACTATTCTAAAATGAAAACTGAAAGCGTTATTTCTCCAAAGTCGACAGTACTGTTGATTCAGTGGTCAATGATTCAAATGCTAGAAACAAAAAGCAGTTATTGTTAACAGGCCTACGAGTTCATAGGGTGCGAAGAAATAGCTTATGATGCAGTCACGGTCTTTACATGTTCAGAGAAACACACCGAGCCCTCTGCTCATTGTGGGATGTCTTCCAGCGTGTGTGTGTCTGAGTACAGTGTGTGAGGAGGGAGCTGCTCTATAGTCTGCTGTGGCTGAGTGGACACTATGAGTGGAACACCGTGGATGACCACATTCTGGCTGCAAAGGCTGATGTTTGGCACCAGCAGCACACTCTCCTCACAGCCTAAGGCACTCCCCCCTGCTGGCTTAGACGCGTCCTCCGATGGGCCGCGCGCCATGTTGTTTGGAGTCGCTGCGGCCACCATGGCGGCGTTCCCCTCCGTCACCACTGTAACCTCTGTGCCGCCCTCCTGGATCAAGGCGTTGAGGCCCTCCAGCTCCGTGCAGGTCGTGATGAAAGTCTGCGTGGCGCTGCCGGGGTCCTGAGCGGTTATGGCGGTCCTCAGCAGGGCCTGGTGGAGCGGGTTGTTGGCGTCGCCGGGGCCCAGCTGCGTCAGCAGGACCGTCTGAGTTCCTAGGGTGGCCTCTGCAGTCTGGGACGACCCGAGGGGTTGCATCGGCGCGAGCAGGTTCACCTGCTGGATCATGGAGTTGACAACCATGTCCTGGCTTTCTGGGCTGAGCAGGACCATGTTGGTCTTATGCGGACCATCCACACCGGCTGGAATTAAGGGCATCTCCGTGCCCAGAGGGTGAGACACGATGATTTTGAGCTGCGCAGTGCTGTAAGGAGCCATCGAGTCGGACGGGAAAGGAACCGTTGTGATGGGAACCAAGTTGACGTCCGCCGGGGTGGAGAGCTGGAGCTGCATCACATTCTGAGTGTCTCGATGCTGCTTCTTGTGGCTCCGCAGGGAGTCCTCCCTCACAAAGGAAGCGTCGCAGGAGTCGCAGCAGAACGCTCGAGCCGCTTCTAGTTTGGCCCGGTACCTGGAGCCGACAGGCTTCGGGGAGTCCCCTCCTCCGCTTTTTCCTGCACCCCTGACACCCTTCCCGCCGCTGCCCTTTTCCGGCTTATCCGAGTGGCACTTCCTTTTGTGGATGACGAGGTTGCTGCGCTGCTTGGAGGCAAAGTTGCAGAAGTCACATTTAAAGGGCCGATCCTCCGAGTGGATCCTCTCGTGGACTTTGAGCGCCCCCTTGCTGGCACAGGAGTAAGTGCACTTGGAACACTGGATGGGCTGAGTGGGCTGGTGTTCTCTCGAGTGCTGCCGGAGAGCAGTCTTGCTGGCACACTGGAAGTCGCAGTGCACACAGTGGAAGGAGTTCTCGCTGCCGTGCTTGATCTGAATGTGAGATTTCAGGTTGCCTTTCATGGCGCAGCAGTAGTCGCAAAAGTTACATTTGTACGGTTTTTCGCCGGAGTGAATCCGGATGTGCCTCTTCAGGTCCGAGTTGATTTTGAACTTTGCGTCACACTGTTGGCACTGGAAAGGTGCATCCCCTTGGAATGAAATGAATAAACACAAAATGATTCTCAATGCAGTCTAACAGAAATACAACATCACCTTGCACTTGAGGGCAATTCTGGATTTCTGACCACCTACCAGTGTGTGAGCGGAGGTGGACGGTGAGTTGGCTGGAGTTGCGGCTGGCGTAAGGACAGATCTGGCACTTAAAAGGCCGCACGTCGTAGTGGATACGCAGGTGCTTCTTCAAACTGCTGCTGTCTGCCGCTGCGTAGGGACAGTGTTTGCACTTGTACGGCTTCTCGCCCGTGTGCGAGCGGCTGTGCATGTTGAGCTTGTCCCGCCGACTGAAGCGTTTCTGGCACAGCTCACATTCAAATGGCTTCTCGCCTGTATGGTAGATGGGGGAAAAAACACAAAAAAAAAAAAAACTTGTGTTAACATCTGATTCTTAAGTGCTTAAGCAAGAGACAATCACATGTGCAGAGCACTGACATACCGGTGTGGGTTTTGAGATGCCGTTCCATGTCTTTTTGGCCATACTGCGTCTTAAAAGTGCAACCTGTAGATCGACACAAATGGTACTTTTACAAGGTGTGTGTCTGTGTGCTTGTGGAAAGTCAATACAAAAGTGTCCTAAATAAATAACAGCTAATGACATGGGGACTTGGCAGGAAGTACTGTTTCCCCTGCTTGGCAGACGGAAAAAAGAGGGAACGTGTTGCAGTCGTAAACGGCAAGAGGCACTAACCTGAGAAACAGCAGCTGTGTCTCTTTGAAGTCAGGGAAGGTTTTAATTTTTTGGAAGGTGTTTTCTGTGCTTTGGTCAGGATCTTTTTAACGCCTCTCATCACACAAGTCTGGAAGGTCTCCTCGAAAACAAACTCAGTGCTGGAATCTGAGCAGAACAAGGATACGACATGCAGACTGTGACTCAAATCTACATGCAAATGATTGACAACAAAATGCAGAGTATAGTATTTTACCTGCGAGAGTGGCTGTTGCGGTGGTGGCTGGAGTGTCAGAGGTTGGTAAGGAGCATCCATTTTGCTTGTGGGCGAGAAAGACCTCAAAATTATTATACTGCTGCTTGCAGAAGCCACAGATATGGATGTCTGGACTCAGCTCCACCACAATAGAATGTCCTGCACCGACATAAGAAGGCAGAAAACACACAAAGGAACCCATGATATTAATGGAAACTTGCTATACGTGTGTGAAACTGGCAAAAAGATGAGTGCAACATCATCAGTGGGATGTTAGAGATATGGTGTAGTTAGGGATCTTCTTAACAGTTTCCCTTTACCTTCGGCGCTGTATGTTGCCATTTTCGAGCTTTGTTTTGATGGGGATCAACTCATCTTCTGGCTCCTCAAAGCCTACACAATGTCCGCCATATTGTTTAACTGTGCCGGCTCGAGTGGAGACGCAGCCAGCGCTATTATCTAAATATTATCATAGTTCAAAAACGCGAAATCTACCGCAGTTTGGATATCAATGGCAACAACCGTTTACTTCTCTCACAACAACAGATACAAATCGGGTTTACGACATGTTACGAGGGGTTTACGACAGTTCGGCAAGCGCTGTGTCCGGGTGACGTCACATGATGCTTTTAAAACTATGGGAAAAATCTAAATTACCTGAACTCAGCACGTACGACAAAAGGATAAAAGTGGTGCATTTGTTTTGTTACATGATTATTTTTGTAACAATAACTATTTTATTACTGTTTGGTTTTCCTAAGAATTGTTAAGTATACGTTAGTCATTTGGAAAGTCAAATAATCACCACAGCAATTGTAAGCCTGATGTCCCCCCCCCCTCTGTATTCTGCCTGTGCATCGGGTCATAAGCTGTCTAATGGCTGTCTTAATTGAAATAAAGAATATATATATAAAAACATCCAAAAAAAACAAAAAACTGGAGTCATTTACATCGGGTACTTGAATGCAGCATTACCACTGTAGTGAGTAATTGGGATTCAGCCAATGGAAACGCCCACAATGTCTTTCCAACCAGGTAAACTATTTTTTGGACGATACAAATGCTGTCTGATACAGTCCAACGTTGCCCTAATTTGCTTACAGAGTGGCTGCACATTTCAAAATATAGCCTTAGCCCTCGCTATGGTACCTGCAACGACTCAAAAGAATATCTCTGCTGTGAGAAGGTGAGCTTTCAGATGTAGCAATCGCTGTAGGGCACTTACATATACACAGCATGCTCAACAAATCTTTCAAGTAAGGACAATTTACTGAATTGTTGGGGTGAGTGAATGAGAATGCCTCTTTTTTTTTCCCAATGCCACAGCAGTCGTGCTAGTGTGAATAAGCCATGAAAGTGACTGACATGCAGCTCCATTTTCAGTGGCAGGTCCTTAACTGCCTGATTGCCACTGTGAAGCTCAGGAATTTCCTTACGCTGACTTTCCTGCATGGCAAAGGCACAGGACTGATTCCTTCCCTGCTGAAACAGCAAATCCTTGAGACAGACAGACACACACACACACACACACACACACACACACACACACACACACACACACACACTCAATGCAGGGCCTTTCATGGCCTGCCCAAACCAATCTGACTATTTGATTACCGTTGTCTTTGAATTCTATTCTGTCAGGATTGTCCCCATAGATTCAGAAACATGAATGGTAAACACTTTGTCATATAAGCAGGAAACTACTGTTTTTCCCCCCCTGGGCATTTGGAAAATTGATGACTGATGAAAAATACATGAAAAGGAGATAATTAAATACATAATTTGATCTGACCAATGAGTGTGCAATTAATTTGCACATTACCCCCCAACACCCAGTACAGTTAAATGCTCATCAAAGACCGTATTCACATGTGGCAGACAAATGACTCAGAGACGGGTTAATTAAAGAAATACTTATGTCATTCCCCCAGCCAGTGGAGAACAGTATGCTTCATTTTTACAATCAAAATAATTCACTTTTGTCACTTAATTATTAGGTTTTATTTATGAGGAAACACCCACCAACTGTAATGCGTTTCATACTCCAAGTATGACTGCGACTAGCTATTTTCATTGTTGATTAAGATGCACATTTTTAGATTAAAAGAAAGAAAAAAGTCACATTTGAATATCTAGAACCTTTTTTGCTTGAAAAATTACTTAAATGATTAATGGATTATCAACATTTTTGATAATTATTTTACTGTTGATTGACTTATCGATCAAGTGACCAACTAAGCTCTAATTCACAGCAATACCAACCTCAATTGGTTAAGTACATGTATGTTCGTGACTGTTTTGTCGCGAGAGTTAAAGGGACAGTTCAACTTTTCTTCTCACCTGTAGTGCTACTTATCCATCTAGATCGTTTTGGTGTGAGGTATTGGCCGTATAGATGTCTGCCTTCTCTCATATATAATGAGACTTTATTGCACTCGGCTTCTCGCGCTCAAAGTCTGAAATTAGCTCAGAAAGGTCTGTGGATTACCTGGGTCATGATTTCTGCCAAGACGCATTGCTGTTGACTTTCAAGTGTATTTTTTTGGCGCATTAAGCACCATAAGCCGAGTGCCATATAGTCCCATTATATGCAAGAGAAGGCAGACGTCTCTGTGGCTGTAATGTCCAAAACCATGGCAACTCGCACCTAAACAATTTTTGATTTTGGGGTGAACTGTCCCTCGAAGGGGAACTCTGAACAATGAGCTCTTTTTCATTTGTTGTACTCAGAAAACAAAGTATAATTTGGACACCCTGCTGTGCCAAATCTAATTTGTAGACTTGCTGCTTTCCCATTCATTGAGATGCCCGAAAATCCAGTGAGTGATGAAATGTCCCTCTTTTCCCCAATGAGACAAGGGCAACAATAGGGGGGAGTGCCTCTGTCACATTATTTTCCCCCACCGAGGCACGCCAGCTGCTTACAGTTGCTTAATGGCTACGAGCTGTCACAAGGCATCACAGCCCGCTGCCACACAGGAGCGGCAGATGCTTTAATTGCACAATGACTTGTAGGTTGTCAACAGCAATTATACCGGGCTTCCACCTGAGGGCACCCAAAGAACACCGTCTTCTCACTCCGCTGGCAAGACGCGAGCCTCAGAGGCTGGCTGCGACACATACACCTGATCTCTGAGTCTTGCTTTGTGTCCAGACAAGAGCCGCAGACCCATTCCAAGTCTCTCTTTTTTTTTTTTTTTTTAGGTTAATGGTTCATCCATGTGCTGCAATAACCTGGGCGGGATTGTCAGATAGCAGGCCCAGGACCCCAAATTCATATTTAGACATAAAATATTTATCTAGCTTTGTCACCTTAGGGCCCGCTGCTCACCGTGCTGCGGCAGGTTGTGGTGTGCAGCGTTTGAGTAATTTTGCTCATTATTAATTCATTTTTTTCTTTTTTGCAATTCAGGGAAGGCTCATTCGCCGCTGCCAGCCCTAAGATGATTATCATTAAGAAGAGGCAAATAAGATGGTGAGTTCAAAGCTATGTTGCAACATGCTTTCAGCCCACATTGGTTCAAGTTCTGTGTGTTGATAGTTTGTTGTATATATGTATGGTTCTCAGGAAACACTGTGTAATGTGCTTAGATTTGCAGTTTATTCTATACATAGACAGCACTGAAATTATAATCAAGCAACTCAGAAACCCAACAGTGACCTTCTGTTTGTGTCATGTCAAATTGAATGGGTAAAAGATGTCCCGAGTCCCGTGTTTTGTTTTGAGCCATAAGACAAATTATACACACATGTATGAATTCCTTTGGTCCACAGCTGCCATCTCAGCATCAGATAAAACAGAGCCAAAGTCTGGGAAGCATCACATGCCTCCAACACTCCCACTTCATCATATAAGAAAGGACAGTGTACACACAAGCGCGCTCGCGTGCACGCACGAGAGCAAGTGCAGCAAGGCTACACACAAAAGGCGCACATGCTCACACGCAAAAACAGCGCTATGCTCTTTGTATCTGCCAACTGATGCAGATGATGGGGCTGCAGATGAGTGCAGGCTAACCAGAGACTAGCGGGTACATGTGGCTGCATAGACAATAGCAGGCCGTAGCCTTCGGAGGAGGATGTTCAACCCTTAGAAACATGCTGGGGTATGAATGTAGACACAATTGTATTTTACTATGTAGTATAATATCTCTGATGTTGTTAAAAAATATTTTTTGCTGATATGAAAGCTTGGCCGAACATTAATGGGGCCATAGTGTCGGGTATATAAAATGTGAATGTTACCAAGAGGAATAAAAATGTTCTCTCCTAAAAGCGTGTTTCTATGAAAAGTGAAGTATTTTTAGTGAAGTTTGATGTGGAAGGGAGGTACCGTGGGTGCCTTGTATTTTGCTGTTGTGTCAGCAGGGGGTGTCCAAAATCAGGCTAGAGAAAGGGACCCTGTGCTCGTTTGAAGCAGCACACGAGGCAGTGCTCCAGTTTGTAGCAGCTGACATTTTGGAACCAGTGGGTCAGCAAAATGGAGAAGCCGTGGAGATGCATCAAAACCATCAGTGAGACTTTTGATTGCGGGATGGTTGCGTGTAATTTATTGCTTTTCTTCTCTTTATCGTGAGCCCTAATTACGTCCGTTAGCGTCATTGCACAAGTAGGTTTCAGGTGTTGCTTTCTACTCCCAAGTAGGACAAAGCAGGGAAACGAAGCCGTGGTCCAGATATTTTCGGGCGTAGGTAGATCCACAGAGCTAAATCTAAACAAAAGATGCTACATGTGCGCGCGCGCGAGTGATGCGCAGATGTGTGTCGTCAATGATGTCATGATGGCGGAGGGAATCTTGATAGTTGGACGGGTAACAATGAGGGTGGCCTATTCGTGCTCTAGACACCTACAGACACACTGGTGGGTACACACTCGGCATCATCATCGTCACAGAGGGAGAAAGGCTCATAATTGGACGGAGGTGTCTGTAGATAATGAAGCCAGACCTCACACCTGCCAAACCTTGGGGATTTCACTTGACTGGCCACTTAAATCTTCCTCACTCTGCGGGTCTGGAGGGCAAGAGAGTGAGTAAGGAACTAATGGAAAAAAAAGCACGCGTTACAGGGAGGATCCCTGTCAGCATGACTGTAGCGTGGACCCGCCCAACACACACACACACACACACAGACGACCCATCTAGCTCAGCCCCCACAGCTCGTTCCATGCAGCACCCACCTCACTTCACTTCACTGTAAATCCTCTGGTGTCAAGGATTTCAGACGGAAACGGGGAAATGCTGCACCAGCTATTTTGTTTCAAAACTCTCAAAAAACACTCGCTTTTCTCCCGAGTTGTCTTTGGTGACAGCGCGTTGTGTGCGGGAAGCGTATTGTGCCAGCTTTTAGCGGGCTGTCATTCGATGTGCTGAAAGGGAAATCAGATAGACGCTTCAACGGAGAAATACTTCTATATAGAAAGTTTACCTGACAGTCATCAGTGAAGTCGTGACACCGTATCAGTGTGTAGCAAAAAAGCTGCACCAATTAGGGATCGAGTTTACCCCGGCAAAACCTTAACAATTTATGAGGAAACAAAATGGAATTTCAACATGGCTTGATCATTGTCTTGGAGATCATTGTCATAC